AATGCTTATGGGGGTGAATATTCAGTCACATTAGTTACTTTTTTTCCTCTGCACTTAAAGAAATTCATCGCCATTGTAACTGAACAGGAAATTAAACATGGAGAAAAAAAAAAATGTTTTGTCATATGATAGTTGGGTAATATGCTATTATACTTCCATCATTTACAAGTTTTGAATCATGAATAAAAACATCTCAGGGTCACCAAAATGTAACACTCTTTATTAAGACAAAAATACATTTAAGGTTCCAGGTACTTTATGATAAAATACGGCTATAAAAGTGAAACTTCACCTAGAAAATAGGATTCATTGTATTTTTAAAAAGGCAGAAAACAGAATAGATAGGTATTTTACATATACATCTTCCTTCACTATATTCATGGTGCAATCCTGATCTTCAGTGAGAATGCAAGTACCTACAATAACTTACTGCAATAAACAAGAACTTAACTATAGTTTGAATATTTCAAAGTAATAATTAAATTGCCTGGAAAAGTCGTATTATGCTTTTCTTTGAAAAATAATATACTCACATTTATTTGACCAAAAGAGAAGAAAGTAAATGTCCACCATATAAAATACTACTAAGACTTCCTGTGGGTCTATAGAGAACCTCATTACTTAGTTGAAGTATTTTGCTTCCAAATTTCCCAACATTTTCAGGCTTGATACCATGATCTTTATTTTCTCCTCATATCACCTGTATGAATTGCGAATTTACAATACATGATTACCCACCTCATCAACTATGTTCACATCAAACAATGACCTAGCTGGACATAACCAAGATACAAAAAAAATGCTAAAACAGCAATCTGCATAGAATAGTTGATTCTTCTCAAATGCATAACTATGGAAAATTTGTAAAAGTTTCAGAGGGGAAAAAAAAGCTTATTTTTTCCTACTTCTAAGCAATTTTCACATCCAGATGTAACAAAGAGGTTACATCTAAAACCTGAACTAAAAGTACTCCCACAGCATTCTCCTGGAGAAACTGGCTGCTCATGGCTTGGATGGGCACGCTCTTTGCTGGGTAAAAAACTGGCTGGACGGTCGGGCCCAGAGAGTTGTGGTGAACGGCGTTAAATGCAGTTAGTGGCTGGTTACAAGTGGTGTTCCCCAGGGCTCAGTTTTGGGGCCAGTTCTGTTAAATATCTTTATCAACAATCTGGATGAAGGGATCAAATGCATGTTCAGTAAGTTTGCAGACGACACCAAGTTGGGTGGGAGTCTTGATCTGCTCGAGGGTAGGAAGGCTCTGCAGAGGGACCTGGACAGGCTGGATCGATGGGCCGAGGCCAGCTGTATGAGGTTCAACAAAGCTAAGTGCCGGGTCCCACGCTTGGGTCACAAAAACCCCATGCAGCGCTACAGGCTTGGGGAAGAGTGGCTGGAAAGCTGCCCAGAGGAAAAGGACCTGGCAGCGTTGGTCAACAGCCAGCTGAATATGAGCCGGCAGTGTGCCCAGGCAGTCAAGAAGGCCAACGGCATCCTGGCCTGTATCAGAAATAGTGTGGCCAGCAGGAGTAGGGAAGTGATTGTGCCCCTGTACTCGGCACTGGTGAGGCCGCACCTCGAATACTGTGTTCAGTTTTGGGCCCCTCACTACAAGAAAGACATTGAGGTGCTGGACCATGTCCAAAGAATAGCAACGAAGCTGGTGAAGGGTCTGGAGAACAAGTCTGATGAGGAGCGTCTGAGGGAACAGGGCTTGTTTAGCCTGGAGAAAAGGAGGCTGAAGAGAGACCTCATCGCTCTCTACAACTACCTGAAAGGAGGTTGTAGTGAGGTGGGTGTCAGTCTCTTCTCCCAAGTAACTAGCGATAGGACGAGAGGAAATGACCTCAAGTTGTGCCAGGGGAGGTTTAGATTGGACATGAGGAAAAATTTCTTCACTGAAAGGGTTGTCAAGCATTGGAACAGGCTGCTCAGGGAAGTGGTTGAGTCTCCATCCCTGGAGGTATTGAAAAGACGCGTAGACATGGTCCTTAGGAACATGGTTTAGTGGTGGACTTGGCAGTGTTAGGTTAACAGTTGGACCCGATGAACTTAAGGGTCTTTTCCAACCTAAATGATTCTACTTTCTTCTGGCCTCTGTAAAGAAGTCACTATAGTTAGAGTTAGTACAAACAGAGTCAGCTATGGCATGGAAGAGACAATATAGCTTTTATAAAAAGAAATGGTACCTCACAAACTTGTAAGAGCTCTCTGTAGAACAGCTGTGCAGAAGGTAACTCCGCTAACAGAATGCAGTTGGATTTTCACATAGTTCTCAAGAAGGGGTCTTACAGGAAGGAAGGTACCATAATGATAAAGGCATGGAGAAAGAGACACCACCCTGGACAGTGAACCCTAAATCCACCATCACTGCAGAGGAAACAGGTTGTTACAGTAGACAGTGTCATGAATATATTAGGTCAATTTTCAGGAAGCAGCGATGTAACAAAGAAATAGACTATCAATACTTATGAAAGTAATAGATGACAATAAAACCAAACAGAATTATGCCACCATAAACATGCTGTGTCTGTGCTGTTATGGCCTCCTCAACTCAAAAGCACTACAACAGAAAGGCACTGAAAGGGGAAACAAGAACAATAAAAGCTGTGGAACCATGTGTATACAAGAAAGAATTAGACTGGGACTCTTACCCGGGGCCGGCGGGAGGGGGGAAGGATAGCAGAGGAGAGACACAGAAGAGATCTGTAAAATGAAGACTGGCAGTCAAGGAGATAAGAAATGATGGCTCACCTCTCTAACACAAGGTCTAGCAAGCATCAAGTTATCAGGCAGCCAGTCCAAAACAAGAGTTTTGCATAATTACGTATTACCACAGAACACTGTAGAAGGCAAAGGTCTTTTGTGGGTTCAAAAACTAACCAGATAAAGCTGTAGGAAAACAGGGTGACAGGGGAGACACTGAAGATACCATCCGCCTCAGCTGGCCCTAAACTGCAAGACTGCTGACAGCTAGGGGGGTCATACTGAAGGACTTATCACTGCATGTTTGTCCTGTCCTTACTTTCTTCTCAGGCATCTGCAGACACACACGAGTCTTTGGTCTGACTCCAGTAAGTCATTCTCAGATTACATTGGAAGCCAAACCTGCGGAGTCAACAGAACATGATTTGGGAAACTGCTGGTTCTTTAAGTTTTGTTGAAGGAAGCAGTTTTCTTGCTCACCGGTGTGTTTTTAATTACTCTCGTAAACCCCAGACTATCCACACTCCCAGACACTTACAATGAAGTTTTTGTATTACTGCTTCACTGACAAAAACTGAAAACGATCCAAATCTTGTTATCAGACTTGGAGAGACAGCTACCAACTGAAGATAATTCACACTATAAATCACTCTTCAAAAAAGTAATCTAAAATATAGATTGTTTTCTGCCTTTACTGAGACTAACGTTTCAGTGTCTGTTAAGCTTATATAAAAGCTGATCATGCACAACAGTGACTTGCACATTTAGCATAATGCATTCTACAGGTCTTGATTCTAGAGATGCTCAGAAGACCAATTTCTGTTGAAGGCACTACTACTCAGCTTTTCTAAAAAGTACTTCTGGAATACACAGCTTCAGATGTCTATTGACGTTACACATGTTCAATGGTCACCCAGTGCCAGTATTCTTTTTTTGTTTAAATACAAATGCTACTAAGTACTGAAGTTTAGATCTTTAATTTGCTCATAATCTCAAACTACTCAAATACTGGGACAAAAAAAAAGTGTTTTCAAACTATTCTCAATAGTTCACAGTTTAAAAAAACAAAACCAGAAGAAATGAAAAAGCTTTCCAAGCTTTAATAACGTTGCTATAACTTTAAGTTCTACACACCACTAAAATATAAATCAAAACAGAGTAACACTCGGAAGCCTAGCACTGTTTGTAGCTACAAATGAAGACTATTCAGAAATCAATATTCTGCATAGCACAATATGCCTCCAGTTCCCTTACACTGCTCCAGTACAAAACTAACCAGCCAAAGAAAAACCCTCTGCAACAAAACAGATTTAAATTCTGTAGCGCACTACTGCAGTAGTTTACAGCATCCTGAAATATGCTTACAATGAATTTAGTTAGTAACTTGTCATAAACTATACTTTGTATTCCTAAACTTTCAAATTTTGCTGATTTCTTAACTCTTAAATACAAAAGTAGACACGTAAAGAAGAGGAAGCTTAACATTTTGACAGACAATTTGAGATAGCTGGGCATTTGGGAACAAGATGCAAGATAATTCACGCAAATTTTGGAGCAGGACATTAAGCTAGAAACTTACTGTTAAAAATAGCCAGTGATATAACACCAATGTTAATGCCCGAGTATCGCTATCTGTTTTCAAGGACAGCACAAAATTAGTTGAGCAGCGTAGTTTGCTCATACTTCCCAGAACAACTGTTTCATACTCAGGCACATGTAGATCCATTAATTTGAAATTCATTCGAGTAAACATTTCACATAAGAACAACAGTTAGTACTTTTTTTCATCCCATAGAAAGTTTAGACTACTGAAAGCTACAGTCCAGTTATCTAACAGGAGGTGGACACATAGTCCTCTGAGACCACAGGTTTCACCAGATGTAAGGCTCTAATTAAAGTGATCTGCAAATAAAACCTTCAATCTTTAACACAAGTGAAAGGTAACACTTAAGTCCCAATGTAATTTTTCGATGACTGCCTTGGGGAGTGGTAGGAAAGTACATAGCATGGGAGCAGTAAGCAACTATATAGCATGAAACTAATTAGTGAAAAGATATTCCTGGAACCTTTAAAAAATCCCAACCACCACCTAGAAATCCGTGATTGCATGATAAATGAATATTTACAAGTTAACATAAAACTATTTAAATTCCAACAACAGCAATAAGATGCCTACCAATATATTATAATTAGCTCAGAAAGCTTTCAACATGTTCCATTTCAGCTGCTAGGGGAGAAGAAAAAAAAGCGTCTTTTACTTTTTGTTCTTAAGAAAAAGCAAGCTATATTTCACTTACCAGTTCCTATATAGGATTTAAAGCGTCCTGATAGTCTGTTGACAAAGGCACCTAAAACATCTAATCCCAGTAATGCTACCTGTTGAAACAAAAGCATTAGATATACAAAACAGATCACTAAAGAATTCTTTAGAATATATTTTAAAGAAATTAGACATATATATGCAAGCATGCTGAAAGACTGTATCTTAACCTAAAGATAAATTAAAGTTCCAGTTAGAGAGCTGATAACTTTGTCTTAATGAAAGCTGCCAAGGAATTATCAGAATATGTTTGGAATGGATCAAGTATATTTACATATACCAGAGCAGTTCAGATTTTTCAGTACTTATCTTAAAACAGAAAGAAAATAAATTTTAGAAATCAATGTTTTAATATTTTTAACTACAAATGATTAAAATTCAAATTAATAATTATGAGGACTAAGGAGTTGGAAGAAGCTCTTTTTTTTTTTTTCTCCTCTCTGGATCATATATTAGGACTACAGTTCTGTCCCGCATTTTCTTTAAAAGATGACTCTAGAGGTCTAACTCAGTATTAACTGAAAATCAAAATTCTTTTGAAACAGGTACCAGTAAGGCTTTAGGCCTTACTTCCTCTACCAGGTTTCTAAGCTGCTGAAAGGAACAGAACAGAATGCCTTAACAACAACAACCACCACCACCACAAAAAAAAGGGGGGGGAGGAAGGGGGGTGCAAGTTACCAGACTCAGAAAAAGCAAACAGCTTAAAATGCAAAACTAACTAAGCCCCCAAATATAAGTACTAATACAGACCGGAAAAAAAACATGATTTAAACAGTTTCCCAGATGCTAAGAGCTTACTTCAACCTGGCTACTTAGCTCATCCACTAAGGTCATTACATCGTTTTCCAAACTCCCAAAAGAAAACAACTGAGCCAAGCTAATACTGTCTTCCCTAGCAGTTCACACCACACCATTTGTCCACCTGCTTGTTAAGCTAAGGAAGTTTTATTTCTCTTCATTTGCTCTTGTTCAAAAACAAAAAAAACAAGTTAAAAAAAAAATTGGAAAATAAAAGGAAGTTCAAAATACTACCGGGATTGTGAGGAAGTTCCCATCTATGAACAGAAACTAGATGAGAGGACAATAACCGCTAATATAGAAACAAGAACAATGATCAGTTAAACTAAATTATTTAACGACTTTTTTTGCCCTTAACTATCCTGCATACTGTTCCAAGACTTCATTCCTAATTTCCTATAATAGTTCATTATCAACACCAGAGCCTGCATTTTCACATTTGGTAGTTAACTCAATTTGCTGCCCATGAAGGTACAAATGCCAAAGGAAGGACCTCCTGAAGCTCAGGCATTCATAAGTTTTTCCTCTTCTTTATTTTCTAGTAAGACATGCACTGCAAATTTTTCCACGTGAAGACATGAGCAGAATTACTCCCCTCTATTAGCTATTTATTTTCATAAAACTTGGAACCGCATTTTCTTGGATAACAGTTTCCTCAAGATCCTTATCTGTCACAATTGTCCACACTAGACAACAGGTCAAAAAAAAAACTGACGGGAGATGAATGTGAATACACATGGCCCACACACACAGGATCAAGTGAGCCTTGTTTCCACAGGAAACTGGACAAATAAGGTCCCCATAAAATCTAGGATCTGAAGTAACCGCATAATTAAGCAGATTTTAATAAACGCAGTATTAGTACAATAGATCTCCTTTTAAACAGGAGGTACAAAACTTAGTTCCAAGTTAGTACAACTTACTTGCAAATTTACACAATTTTATTACATACTAAAACAGAGAATAGCAAATATAAGTGGATGGCATCACTGGCTTAAATTAATATATTGCCAACAAGTGACTGCAGCTATGGCTTAGGATGAGAAAACAGAATCCTGTAATTGATAACTAACTTAAACAAAAAATGGAAGTCAGCTTTTATGGTAATGTCAAAGCTTCCCAAAAGCTCTTTCCTTTAATGTTCTTTTCCAGATTGTCAAACTATGTGAGACCCGAGACAAAATCACAACCTAAAAAATGATGCCTGAAAGAAATAAGAAATTCATTCTGGATATACATTGTTTTCCTATGTTTCTGTTTCCTGACTACAAGCCCCACCTTAGGCTTGTCTTCCAGTGACAACTTTTAAGTTACCCTTCCTGTGCAAGTATTTTGGTGTCCATCAATGCACAAACCACAGCTTTTCCTTTTGTAAAGGTACTTACAGAGAGTCTCTCTCTTCTCTGCACATTTGACTGTCTTTCTAAAATCTCTCTTGAAGACTTCTACCATTCTGAACAGCAGCTGAGATACTTAAAAAAGTGAAGCATGCATGGCTGTTTTTACTACAGATCTACTCTTTACTAATCCCAAAGAAGAGTTCCGAGTAAGATGGAGAGTATTTCTTGATTAATTCCTCCAGTGCTTAGCCTTTAGGGTTTGGAGGGTTCTTTGTGGCATTTTTTTGCCCTTTTTTTTTTTTGGTTGGTTGGTTTGGGGCTGGGGGTGGGGGTGGGG